AGCCTGGGAGACACGGCGAAACGCCGTATCAAAAAAAAAAAAAAAAAAAGGAAGTGTGTTATACATGAAAAAGTGATCAATAAGTGTCAAGATGATGCCGAAAGATGAGACGACACTGGGCAACCACACTGAATGGATAGAATGGTGTGGACGTTGCAATCATTGCCACCGGGGACACTTAACATTCACGGAGTGTCTACTTGACTATCAGGCGCGGGCGGGACTCAGGATACACAGGCGAGTATATGGATCCCCGTGCCAGGGAAACCCCCAGTCGGTGGCCTCCTGGGGACCCCTGGGAATTGCAGAGTACGCGAGCAGCGGCCCAAGTTAGGCGAAGGGCCACTCCCTGGGGCGCCAGCGACACATACCCGCTTAGCCCCCCGCTTCGGGGGAGGGCGCCGTCCCCGAGGAAGGGGAGGTGCCGGGAGGGGCCCCCACCCCGACGCCAGCCCCTCACCTTCCGGAAAGTCGGGTACTGACAAGTCCTGCTCCCAGCCGTCCACCTTCTGCAGATACTGGTAGACCAGGCTGTCCTTCTCCTGCTGGGTAACGGCGTCGAGCAGGGCGTACTCTAGCGAGGTCTGCGCGGGGAGCAGGCCGGAGAGGCTGCGGCCACGGGATCCGGGCGCCGCCATGTTTCCGCCGGGCTCCCGAGGCGGCCGCCGGGCTCGCGGGAGAGTCTCGCTGGGAAAGACAAAACGTTCACTGTCCTGTGGTTTCCAAACGGCGCATTCACTTCACCCTCCACTAGCCCCACTCCACGCCAATGACACTTTTTTCTTTTTAAAGCATACGTCCAAGTGCCAAAAGTCCAAATCGGCGCAGTTCCCGGGCACGCAATTAAACTCCCGTCCCGACCCACCCCGCCCCTTCTCGGTCCCCACGCCGCAGCCGAGCCTGGACATTGAGAGCGCCAGATTCAACATGGAATGAGGCCTCAGGAACAGCGTCCCAGAGACCCAAAGGGAACCATCCCCCACCCTTCACATTGGGAATTAGCAGGCTTCCGAACAAAAATAAAATACAATAAATCCGTAGGACTTAAAAGAGCAACCTATTTTTTTAAAGTATTTTTAAAGTCTCTCTCCTTGACCAGCATCCGCCGATTCGACACGGCACTGACAGCGGGAAGTTGTTCCCGCCAAGACGCTAAAGGTAAAGGGGGTAGGGATAACCTCCAGAGAGAAGGTTTTGTAAGCTGGGAGTGACTGGCGCGAATGGCATTCACTTACAAATACAGCGTTTTGTCATCTGGGAGTGCTGAAAGTGCGGGTGCGAACAGATTTTTAGGTGGGGGTGCGGAGGGGAGCGGATGCAGCTGGAGCGGCTCCCTTGGGGCGCCGAGTGGCAGGTGGGCGGCGGCGAGGGTCCTTGAGGGCAGACCTCAGAGTCTTCAAAAGGGGAGGACTCTGAGGGCTTTTTTGGAGCTGGCTGTGCTTCCTGGAGAGGGTTAAGGCCCCGCTTCCTGGCCTTGCAGCCTCTAATGCCAGAAGATAAGGGAGAGGCTGCCGTGTGACCCTGTTTTGAGGTGGACAGAGGGCTGGCCACCTTCGGAACCATGGGTGCAATACGGAGTCAGACCTCAATACAAGCCCACCGTTTCACATATTTGAACTTTTTTCACATATCTGAACTTTTCTTGTTCACTGTGCAGGGATTGTTCATTGCTGCTGGAGGAAGATCATGGACTGTCCCGGGAAACTGAAGTGGTTGAGTATCCACTAGTCGTGGATAATGGCAGTGACTTCGCAGTTTTTTGCGAATTACACATCTCTTTGATTATGTTGTGACTAGTTTTGTTGGTAAACTGAGATAGCCATTTAGTGTTTAGGATACCTGTTGATCCACTTGTCCAGGGAGTGTGGTTGGATTTATGAATTATTTGGACAGTTGTCCACTTGAGAGAACGACAGTAGCTTCATAACAATGTTACAAAGCTCATTCTAAGATTAAGCTGTTGAACCTATATTTCCCATTAGTGCTTAATTTTCGAAGTATTATTCTTATTTTTATGAATCAAGTCCTGGAAAAGGACAAGATATTTGAACGAAATAGCACCCATAATGGAGAACTCCACAGTTGCTGCTCCTGTGATAGGTTTATCTTAGTTTTATTGTGGTATGTATGGAACAGCAGGTGTTGTCAGATACAAGGTTTGTAGCCTGCCAATATGTGCATTACCAACATTCCAGATTCCCATTGAGTTGGTGGGGGTTTTGTTACCTTTGTTTTCCCAGCAAAATAATTCTATAACTTCTTGTGACAAGAAATGGACTCTCAATTTACTTAAGATTAATACTTCTTGAATGATAAAATCATTTTGCCATGTTAGAAGACATTTCCGAAGAAGACATTTGGGAATACAAATCTAAAAGAAAACCAAAACGAGTTGATCCAGATAATGGCTCTAAAAATATTCCAAAATCTGTTGAAAAAGGAACAGATGGAAAACACCAGTCAAAACGGAATAGAAACAGAAAAAGAGCCACAGAAGCTAAAGAGGTGAAGGACCATGAAATGCCCCTTGAAAATGCAGATTGTCAGACTTCTGTAGCTTCTAGTCAGAATTCAAGTTGTGGAGATAGTATTCAGCACACCCAAGACAAGGAGACTACTCCAGGAAAGCTCTGTAGAACTCACAGAAGCCAACGCGTGTCCCCAAAGATACGTCCAGTTTATGATGGATACTGTCCAAATTGCCAGATGCCTTTTTCCTCATTGATAGGGCAGACACCTCGATGGCATGTTTTTGAATGTTTGGATTCTCCACCACACTCTGAAACAGGTAAGACTGCAGAAAAGCTAGCAGTTTCTAAATCATCTAAAAAGTCTTCATTAGGTCAGACATACCAGTTCAGTGAAACAAGGAAGGCAAGCAGTAAACTAAAAGAGAGATGGGACCCTGGGAGACACCCCCCATACTTGTCAACGGTATAATAGTAAAGAAAATGGCAGACTAGAAAACAGTTTAAACACGTTGGGTTATTTCATAAAAGTTCCTAAGTATCTGGATTATTTTCCATAAATGTTAATTGAATCCTTACTATGCTGGGTACTTTCACACTGTTTACTTACCCGACTTTCACAACCACCATATAAGGTAGGTAGTATTGACATTTTATAGATGAAAGTTCTTAAAAGTCAAGTAACTTGCCCAGTTGGTTATTTTTATGGAACTCCTTAGAAAACTATAAATAGGCTGGGCACAGTGGCTCATGGCAGTAATCCCAGTACTTTGGGAAGTCGAGGCAGGCGGATCACTTGAGCCTAGGAGTTCAAGACCAGCCTGTGCGACATGGTGAAACCCCGTCTTTACCAAAAAAAAAATACCAGAAATTAGCCAGGTGTGGTGGGCTACTTGGAAGGCTGAGGTGGCAGGATCACCTGAGCCCAGGAGGTGGAGGCTATGGGGCGCTGTGATCATGCCACTGCACTCCAGCCTGGCGGGGGCGACAGAGTGAGACCTTGTCTGAAAAAAAAAAAAAAAAAAGTATAGATATAGTATGGTTTCTAAATATGGTTATGTTTTAGTCATCATGCTAATGTATACAGGAAGAGGAACTGTGAGGGAGTCTTAGGTGATTAAGATTCTAACAATAAATGTGTCAAATGATAATAAAAGTATGCTTTTTTTAATCTTCTAAAATATGTAATAAGTATTTAACGTAGAAAATCCTACTTGGAATATATATGGACAACGGGTTGTTGTGATTATTTTTATATTTTAAAATCATTTATATTCCATATATAGATTGTTTCATCTAAAAAAGTTAAATTCGGTAAAATAAAAAAATACTCAATATGGCTTTCATGTTAGCTATGATTCAGAATAAATTTTATTGTTAACCTGTAGTTATTTTAAAGTACTGCATGAAGACACACACAAAAAAAACCTCTTCTTTAAATTTGGCATTAGCCTTTCCCATAAAAGGATAGCAAGTGAAAACCTCATAAATTTGCTAGTAATTTGCTTTCATGTAACTTGAAAATCAAGAATGGAAATTGGAGTCCGTGATTGAAGACCTTAGGGTGGAATGTCTTATGGATGAAGCCACCTCAAAAAAATTTTCCTTCGGTTTTTAACTAAACTCCTGTGAATAGACTCTCAGATGGCTCTCTTGAATTAAATTCCATTCTATAACAAATGCTTTTAAGAGGCATTTTTAAGTTAGGTTGTAAGCCATGACGTTTTCTAATTTAATATAAGAAATATAACATCTTTTTTGAGGGGAGGGAGGTGTCATTTTTTGATAAACCTGGAAATTAACATATACAGGGATATGCCAAGATGGCTTATAGAAAGTTTCTCAATCATGGTAGTATGACAGGGAATAGTTTCCAAATTAGTAAAGCCTTATAATTAACCAATTTCTCAAATTCTATTCTTAGAATAGAATCTAAAACTTGTTCAGCGTATCAACAATTATAACTACTCTTATTAAAATTGTTACTTTTTATTGTATACAACGTGAATGTTAAATAATGGAACCCAATTTATACTGCTAATGTTGTCAAAGCTTAGTATATTCTTTGATCCTGTAATTTTTTTTCTTTATTAAAATTTCAGAGTGTCCTGATGGTCTTCTGTGTACCTCAACCATTCCTTTTCATTACAAGAGATACACTCACTTCCTGCTAGCTCAAAGCAGGGCTGGTGATCATCCTTTTAGCAGCCCATCACCTGCATCAGGTGGCAGTTTCAGTGAGACCAAGTCAGGTGTTCTTTGTAGTCTTGAGGAAAGATGGTCTTCGTATCAGAGCCAAACCGATAACTCGGTTTCAAGTGATCCCTTACTGATGACACAGTATTTAAAAAAGTCTCCATCTCCAACCAAAGCCAGTGAAAAGATTTCTGCTAATATCCAAACGTCCCAACAAGCTCTACAATTTACAGAATTTGTTGAGAATGACAAACTGGTAGGAGTTGCTTTGCGTCTTGCAAACAACTCAGAACACATAAATTTACCATTGCCAGAAAATGACTTTAGCGACTGTGGAATCTCCTATTCTCCACTTCAAAGTGATGAAGACACTCATGATACCGATGAAAAACTGGATGATTCACAACAACAACTATTTTTTACCGAAAGCTCTAAAGATGGCAGCCTCGAAGAAGATGATGACAGCTGTGCTTTTTTTAAAAAACGACATGGTCCCTTACTGAAGGACCAGGATGAGAGCTGCCGCGAAATGAACAGCTTCTTAACTCAGGATAAGTATGATGAAGGATTGTATAGATTCAATAGTCTAAATGATTTGTCTCAACCTATTTCCCAAAATAATGAGAGTACTTTGCCTTATGATCTGGCATGTACTGGTGGTGATTTTGTGTTGTTTCCACCTGCATTGGCAGGAAAGCTTGCTGCTTCTGTTCATCAGGTAGCTAAAGCAAAACAAGATGAGCCAGAATTTCACTCAGCTCAATCAAATAAACAGAAACAGGTAATTGAAGAATCAGCTGTTTACAATCAGGTTTCTCTTCCGTTAGTTAAGAGTTCAATGTTGAAACCTTTTGAAAGTCAGGGAGAAGGGTATCTTTCTTCCCAACCAACCCAAAGTAAAATTAGAAAATTATCAAGTGAGAACTTGAATGCTAAGAATAATACTAACTCAGCATGTTGCTGCAGAAAGCCATTAGATGGTGTGCCCGTTGGTAAAGCTACAATTTTAAATACAGAAAACTTTTCTAGTACACCTGCTCCTAAGTATTTGAAAATATTGCCTTCTGGTCTTGAGTGTAATGCAAGACATCCTTCTACCAAGGTAATGAAGCAAATGGATATAGGTGTGTATTTTGGACTACCTCCCAAAAGAAAAGAAGAAAAATTGCTAGGGGAAAGTGCATTAGAAGGGATAAACTTAAATCCAGTTCCAAGT